TGTGTACAAAATACGGGAATACTGCCGGTAATATTCCCGGCCGAATACGGGAACCGTGAATACGGTCGGGAAAACCCCTTCCCTGATTCCGTTCCTGTTTCCACCGTAAATTCCTGTATTTTTTTCCGTTTCCTGTTTTTTCTGCAAAAACGGTATGCAATCGGTTAATGCGGTATACGATGTCGGTCGGGACGGGAATTTCCCGTCCCGTTTTCATCCCTACTCTTAGTGGTGCTTAGCTTGCTTATCCATCCATGGCGTTCCTCATAGCCACCACAGAGTATATATGTGTACATACGAGGCTCAATTATTGAGTTTCGTGCCTAAAAAAAGAGTGTTGACTTTGACGCAACACTGAACAAGTGGGCAACTGACATGTTACCGCTAAAGAACTTTTATGTCGATACTTGGTCAAAAGATTGGGGCCAGATATAGCTTTCAAGAATCTCGGCTGCCCATCCCTCCACCCAACGCTAAAGGATAGTTCGGCACAGTTTTTTTTTTAAGCTCCGACCTCTTCTACCGTAGCACTATAGTAGCATTGTTTATTAAAGTCATTTTTCTCTCTTCTCACAAAATGATCATAGAGCCATGAGAAGCCACGATTTATGTCTTCTTGAGTACTATAGCGTGCTGTCCTGAGCTTAAAGGAGTCCGGTCAAAAGGGGTCTAGAGAAGTTTTTTGTACATTTTATTGCAACACGGAAAAAGTGTTAAACTCCTATTGTTTTAGGTTGTTCTTATCTTCTTAATTATGCGTGCAACTTGTCCTTATCTTGCTAATCTGTTAGAGCAACTACAGCATGAGCCTTCAAATCAGACCGCTACTTTTGATCCGAGGGCTTCCCTCATTTTTAGGACATAATTTTTTTGCATATATGCTCCAGCAGAGAGCACTCAAATCAGTCCTCACATCTTTTGATAGAAATCGACACAAGAGACCCGCTCATCATTCTCTATTCTTTCCATCCTCTAAAGGAGCCTTACTGGGAATGGGAAGGGCTCATTGGGAGAGGAGTCCGAGAGACGAGTAGGGAATGAGAGGGGCTTGATGGGGAAAAGGGGCCGAGATAGTAGTTTAGGGAAGGAGGAGAGCTGGGGACGGGTGTCGCCGGCCAAGGGGCAGGCCTCGCTAAGGAGCAACGTAGGGGAGTCGCACTCAAGGGACCGTCTCACCAGTGAGTGAGGTTGTCAATAGGGTGCCATATGAGGGAGATCCACTAGGGAAGACGCCGCCATGGGGAAGGGAGCCTAGGATGGCTTCGACGAGGAAGAGAGCGGGACTCACCGAGGGAGCCACACCAAGGGAGGGTCTTGTCGGGGATGGAGAAGGAGGCGAACAGGCGTTGGAGGCGGATGGGCGGGCATAGTTTTGCGAGTAGGCGGGACAGGAAACGACCGCAACCATCATTTGAGGTCTTGCTCCATGGCCCCTAGGGATGAGGGGTGGGAGGGGGATTGAGGGCCCCTCAAATTTGAGGCTCTAGTAGAGGCTCTGCTGGAGCTTTTTTTTTTTTTTTTTTTTGCTTTGTCCCTCAAATTTGGTTCTGAAGACTTAAGTAGGGCCCTACTAGAGTTGAACTTAATGTGATCTTCTGAGAGTGACTTAACTAAGGACATGTTTAACTTGATGGCCCTCAAGACTTGAACTTAATGTGATCTTTTTAGTTCTAGGGTTTGAACCATTCAGAGGGTGAATAGATTTTGTATAGACCAAAGGTGTAAATTTGAACTTTTAGAGTCAAATTCACTCTCAAGTCCTGACACCCATTTATGGAAAAATAATGGCAGCTAGTTGCAAAATTGCTAATGGTCGTATCTTTCTAATCGTTAATTAAATGGTCGTATCTTTCTAACTGTAAATCACTGCCCCATTTGGATCCTTGAATTAAATTTATTTTATAATCATAATTTAAACACAGATTAATTAAGCTAATATGGATGTATATGGAATATATTTATATATTATTGTGCATATGAGAGAGATACTTATGTGTTGTACTTCTACCATAGGAGAGCGAGTTGAAGAATATATTATAAGTTATAAAGTACAAACATAGTATAAACTATGAATATTTATAGAATTAATTTTCCATCTCCTATCCTATGAATCTAACATAGGCTTATATGTAGATTTTGCAAAGCTGTGGAATGATAAATTCCAAGCCAAACAGTGTAGACTATAAAGTACATTTCAATTCCAAAATAATAGGATCCAATGGTCCTAAGGGTTACGTAGAAGTTAATTAAGGTGTTCCCTTCAGATTAAAGTCGCAACGGTGAAGTGAACACGAACCACCTCATATATCATTCAGCATATTCGCTTGTTGGTTTCAGCCAGCCTAAATCAGCCAGTCAACAGTGTTTTCCTTTCATAAAAAACCAGCATCAGTCAGCCCAAACCAACACCAGCACCAACCAGCGAACAAGCCCATTGTGTATATAATTTTTTAATACTACCTTTATCCTCAAAAGGATATAACTATGGTATACGTGTCAGTTTAAGCGCTTCACATTTGAGTTTCTAGTTAATAATATTTACATTTATGGCTCCAAATTAATTTATTATGAAAATACATTTTGTAACTAATCTAATAATATTTATTTTATATTATAAATATTTATATTTTTTTTTATCTTTCTATAATTGCATTCTTTCGTGGATGGGAGTACAAAGTTGTAAATTATGGACAGTCCTATCCTATTGACTGTAGCAATGTATGCGGACAGTCAACAAGAAATTACAAAAGAATATATATTGTTCAGAAGAAAAAGGAACGGTCCATGTTCCAGTAGCCCGTGCCGTGTGGGTGCCTTCTCCCCACCTTCCCCGCCGTTTCCCCGCGTGCTCTCTCCCTCGGCGACGACTCAGTTACCACCGCCGCCCTACGCGAGGTTCCCAGGTCTTCGTCGGGCTCTTCTCCGGCAACGAGCACCAACAAGGTATGCCCGCCCCTTGTATTCCCTTCCTTCTGTGCGAAGCCGAGCACCCGAAGAGTAACCTAAGCTATTCTGGCTTTTTTTTTTTATAATCGGATCTGATCTAATTGCAAGTGTATACATGTATCATTATGCCTCATAATTTCGTTCTTTTGCAACAACAAAAAAAAATTATTGGCGTACATGTGTACAACCATGTCCTTTGTTGGGTCCGCCCCTGCTCTTGCTCTGCACATATTGCTCGTTAATCTCATATATCCAATCAGTTGGATGGACTTGTAAAAATGGACACAGATTGCAATAATCTTAAGACAAATTGCCACCTAGGCGTCTTTGACTAAAAATTGTTGATATGATTCCCAACTTGGCAGTGTTGGTTACATTTGTTCAAATTCCCATAAGCTGCAATAGCTTTACCCATGTGACCATGCTCAAGCAAAATTCATCTCAGTTGAAGAAGCATTGGCCTGTTAGGAGGGGTGGGCATACTAAGAAGCTCTGACTGAAGTGGGCAACATATCCTGGAATCATAGCACAACTTGAATAAGAGCCCATCTGCAATTTGCGCATAATATTAAACAATCTGCAATGCTCAAGTTGAGTGATATCGACGGGCGAGTCAATTTGCCACTGCACAATATTCTGTTTATCGTCCCAAACTTGCACATGATCTTGCTTATATTAGTGTGGTAGTTCTTTTGTACGCCACAATTGCTGTAAGTGATGCTTGCAGATATGATCAATGGTGGAAAAGATAATTGAGCATTACTAGCCAAGCCAGCTAGGTGGGGGGTGTTAATGCCTTTATGGTGCTATTGGACTGATAGTAATGTACGTTTGGTTGATAGCTGCATATTTTTCCATGAAACTGGCCATAGGTTGCTGCAAATGGTTCCTTGTATTGCCCAAATCCGGTGCACTAGGCCAATCATTCTGGCTAAGAACAATTTATCTGTTGAGGGAACAAAAGGGGGAAAGGATTCTTCATCCTTACACATATTGCTATTTTTGTTAATTAGAAAGAAGCCATTTGTTGTTATCAGAGGTGCATGAATCCACGGCACTGGTTTGTGTGGATCGAAAAATTCTATGCCACTGAACATTTAGTCTTATCTAGCAACATTAATGAATCTATCTTGCTCAATTTACAAAGTGAATAAATTAGAGAAACTTGAGTTGTCCCATAGTGTCCATGCGAGTTAGAACCCATTCTATTTTCTTATTAAAAGATTATTTCTGTACCCTTTTCTGTAGTAAAACTGGCTTAAAACAATACACTTCACAACCATATTTGTGTTCTATATTCAGTTAGTCACGTTTTGCTCTCTCTTTCACATGAACATGCACCTTTCATTGTTCACTGGTCTATTGCAATTTATGACGAGCTATGGTAGTTATTTTCTGTTACACTTTCTGTGCGATCTATCTAGCTTGTTCATATAAGAAGCCATTGTGATATGGTTACTATAGCATACATCAGAAAGACGAGGCACGTGTTCTATTGTATACAAGGACAGGGCACCAGCTATTTGAAATTTATAAGTGCATGCCATAATGTTATAACTGTATACAAATTCTTTATACAGCAAAACACACACATATGTGGGATATGGCTCTTTGTATGTTTAATATCAAGAACGGAAGGATATGGTTGTTTACTCACTTATGTGTTAACATAGTATGGTTTACTATTTTCACCAATCTGACTAATTTTGCAACAACTGTACATTCAGAGATCTTCCAGCTGAGTTTTCTTTGTACCTCCGTAGGCAGCATCACTTACATCAGTGACCTTTCATATGCCTAATGTGCAATGTTTTCAAGTCGTCCAGTCAAACCTAGTCGCCATGGGACAGACCAGGAGACTAATTGTGATTAGTCGTCGACCAGGCTGATTAGTCGAGCCTAGTCGACCCCACAGTCGTCCTATATATCGAGACATATATACTACTATATATATACCTATATATACTATATAGTATACACAATAAAGCAAGCATCAAGACTACATTAGTGTTTAGTCGGGTGACTTGCTTGTGGGAGTTGTTTTCTTCTCTTTTCTACGCCATGTCCGTAAGTCCATATTCTGTCCCAAACTCCATTTCTTTGCTGACTTGACTTGTCACTGGAAGCCTAAAATACCAAAGAAGACCATAATTAGCAACACTAATGTAGTCTTGATCTTGACACAACTCAACAGCAGACCTTCAGATGCATTAGCAAGCACTCTTCACTGCAGTAGCAAATAACTAGCATTTAGCAGTTAGCACATAGCAGACCATAGCAGCCACACAGCCAGCATATTACATAACCAAACAAGTTCAGTACACATAAGCTAAAGTGTTCAACACAGAGTCACAAACATTGACATTTAACAGTCCAACAAAAGTAGGCAACTAGCCATCTAATTAAGCAAATCAACATTAAAATTGAAGCCTCTCCATCTCCAGTTGGTCCATCTCCAGTTTCAGTTGGTGCAGATTCTTCATCCTCCTCCATTGCTATTGCTGAATCTACATGCTGATCTTGGTCTTCATCATCAACTTCATCAATATCTTGAGTCACTGTGTTCCTTGGACGCTTCCTGTTCCTAGCATAAGTACGCCTCACAGGGGCAGCAACAGCAGCACGAGTAGCAGCAGCCCTAGGCAAGTTACGTCCCTCTAGACCCTGAGTTGCACCAATAGCCTCATCCACAACAGCCCAAGTCATAGCATCGCCACCACCTTCCTGAACTGGTTCTGGTTCACAATTTTCATTGACCCATTCATTTTCCCAATGAAATTCATCAAGCAAGAGTGGATTGCATCTCTTTCCTTTGGAACCCAGCTCTCTAATTTTTTAAAATCTGTTTTCCATCTTGCGGTTGTAACTGACATATACCAACTTATTTAACCTTTGGTGCTCTAATCGGTTTCTCTTTTTTGTATGGACCTACACAAAATATAATGCAGAATCACATATCAATATTACTACCATACTTAATTACTCAGCAGTAGTACACTAGCACTTACAGCAGAAAATTCACTCCAACTACGCCCGCATCCAGATGTGCAGCGCAACAAAGGCTAACAATCCTTTTGCTAAACATTCTAACCCTAACAGGCCAAACTGCAAGCAAGCCTAGTAGCCCACATGTTCCGCCCAGCTTAAATGAGCCCAAAAACAGAGTAACCAAACTGGTCGTCCCTGTCCTAGTTGGACGACTAATTGCGATTTCTAAATCGACTAATCGGACGACCAGCTTTACGGTCAAGCTAATCGAGTCGAACCTCCTAATCGAACACCGTGGACCGATTAGGGCGAGTAATCGCGATTAATCGGACGACTTGAAAACATTGCTAATGTGTTCCCTCGATGTATACTTTACGTACTCCTGGTTCAGCTGTAATTGTCATGCACAGGCGTTCTCTTATTGATTTATTATTACAATGAATCAATTATGGATCATCAACATTTGACAATATCAAATGAATAGATGTGGGAAAATGGCTGTGCATTCTTCCCTTGGTTCATACAAACGCCATTGTCAGCTCATATGTTATATCCAACTTGAAACTATATCTTACTTTCTGATATTATTATATAATTTCATTTATTCTTGAATGAAAACTTGAGCTAATGAAAAAAAAATGAAGAATTAGTGTAATGGACTAATGATTTACCTTACATCAGCAGATTTTGTGTAAAGATTGTGCGAGCACCATTCACTTTTCATTAGTGTGAAATTAAAGCACTTCAAGCATGAGGTCAGTACTCCTAGTTTCTCCATCTCTGAATTTCTGTTACAAACAGTTTATGGAGTCTGATGCATATAAACAAGACCCATTCATTTGTAACTCTCTACCTATTCATTCTCAGCTAGTACTCATGTTTGAACTTAGCAATTTGTAAGCAATGGATCAGAAAAAATGTCTTATAAGGCCTATGGCATAGTTTCCCCTTCTTGTGTTCTTTTCACTTCTGTACAGTAGTTTTACTTTTCTTTTAATAAAATCCTAACAGTGGGGGCCTCCCCTTCTGTATTTATTATAAAAAAGGCCTATGGTATATTTATCATTTCTATGCTGAAATCTGACATGCTAACCCTTTTTTTCTCTTCTCATAATCTATTAAGCAATGCAGCACTTTTGTCTAAGGACTACCTACTTCACTCCTACTACTATATTGTACCAGTGTTACAGTTTACATTGGACATACAGGAGATTAAGATATAAATTAAGTGCTAACAGAATTTGCATGTATATGACCCATGGACCATATCGTTTCAAAATGTTTATACACTTGAATAATATTGTATTGTATTCTTATTGAGATGTTTCTGTGCTCTACCCCATCCTAAGTATTGCGAAAAGAATATTTAAAACGGGTATATAAGCTACTCGCTAATATTTTTTGTTATGTTTGGTGCTTCCCTTGCCTTTGTGGATGGCGAGGTTGACAAATATTGTGAAATTGAGGGACTTTGTGTTATAACTTTGGTACAGCCTGGTTGTTATATCCAATTCCAATACACTTTGTTGTCAAAGTCTTTATTGATGAAATCAGTTGCATTTCATGAAAACAAATGGTAGTATTCACTTGAATGCGTGAACTCATGTTTTTATTTGAAATTAATTTATTTCCTTTCCAATACTAAATAGTGCTCATTTGGTTATTGTGTGATGAATATTTGAGAGTTAAGAACTGAGATGATGGAAGGAACATTGCTTTTCATCATGTATACAGACATTGCTTTTTTTTTTATTGGCACTACTTGCATTGATTTTGATTGGTTTCGGAACCTTGCATCTCAAAATTGGAAGGGTCAGTAGAGACAATATGTATCTTGTCTTAAAAATAAAAAAATAAACATCAATTGACTCTGTTTCTTGTGATGGCACTCTGAAGGAATGACTTCAGAAATGTGCATATCTCTTGTTACATGTATCACATATGTGATAGGTCCATATTCTTGTGGCCATTTTCTTGATTTAGCTTCTGATGATGCTTGGACCCTTTTCCTGTAGCTCTCGCCGTGTGAAGTGGAATGAGGACAATTTGTATGAAATTGAGTCAAACAAACCGGTGAGGCAGAAGATAACAGAGCCAAAGACACCATATCACCCTATGATAGATGATGATGGTAGACATCTTGCCACCTGCATCATACTATATCTGACCACTTTAAGTACTCCCTAGTGTGCACATGATTATTTGGCTCACTTCTTGTCTTCTAGGGTCACTGTCGCCAACACGTCCTTTCGACAAATGTCTTGATGAGACTGTCCAGGCTGAAGCTATCTTAACAGCCTTAAATGGTGTGGCTTCTTCAAGCAATAGCAATTCAAAGGATGACGGTTGGGGATCGTCAGATGGTGATACAGATGCCATAGAACAAGATGATGGTAAACTTCTTGCCCAGCTGCTACAATTTTATTATTCTGGTTACAGGACCGTGCTCATATTTGTTCTCTTATTCGTTTTGGTAAGACAGTTAAACGGGTCAAATTAAGATAACATAATTATTTCTTCGTCTGTGAACAAGAAAAGTTTAAAAAATCAGTCTTGATTATTATGTATGTCCTAGCTAAAGATGGGCAGTTTGATGTTTGGTTGGCAGAGTAGTTCACACTTTCATTTATTTCCACTAGTGAAACAATGCAACTCCATTCTGCTCTAGCTTCCTTAAGTTCATAACTGATCCGATTAATTAGACACATTCTCAATTTCCTAGCATTGGACAAGGCAAACCTCATTGTTCTTGCTGTTCCTTAAGCAAGACAGATTTCATCTTAGAACCCAAGGTACTTATATGGCACGAACAAATGTTAAATACCATGTCATTATATCATTATAAAGTGTGATCTACTATTACTTGTTCACTGCTGTCGTAGTACACAATTAGCATTGCACTGTTCCCAGATGTTTCAGCAGTGTCTTTTTGTAATACAATTGGACATACTGTGATATGTTTGGTTCCATGTAGACCCAGAAGCTGACACAACAAGACTGAGTTTCAAGGAGCATCGCCGTGCCCACTACGATGAGTACCACAAGGTTAAGGAACTGATGAGCACTGGATCCCTTACTGTTGAGGAGGCCGATGAGGATAACAGAGCTGCCACCAACTCCGAACGCAAAGGCGTGGGGAAAAGAGCGTTGAATGACGACATAAAGTCCTCACCGCAAACATGAGGAATTCATATGAAGGTTCTGATTCCTCTGTTATTTACAAAGCTAGGACAGCCCATCGAGGCAGAAGCATGCAGTTTGCCTAAGTATGCTAACAGTGCTTTGTGTGTGCTGGATCAGTGATTTGGCACTGGGTGCTTTATTGTATCATTGTATGTGCAATACAGTTGTTACTCTTGTTTTGTTTTGAGATGCTGGTGTGCCAAAATGGCTTTGATGACCGAGAATTGTAGTGGAGTTGGCTGCTTGGTCGAATGTTCGTTGCTCCATTTTGGTTGGTGACAACATTTTTAATTGAGAAAATATGTTTCAACCATGGCAAACTGCTTGATGCTGAACTCAGTTATCCTTTTTTTTTATTTGGCATAATCTGTGTTGAATCAGTGTGATTGTTGGTGTGTTGTTGCGCTAGATCGAATTTTACCAATTGGACTAGGGCTATGCAATTGCGAAATGTGTTACTTGACGAGCCTACAGAGCGTAAAGGTAAGTAATTAGCTTGACGGGCCTTGGATTCGAGGTGAAGTGGGCCAAGAGCCCAGGATAGGCCAGAAGCAGAAGGAGCCACAACACGAGCGCTCTACTTCGTTAGCGAGCTCCTGGTCGAATCCAAGGCCTGGTATCCCAATCCCAAAATACAGTAAGTTCATTACCGACATGCTCATCACCTCACGCAACCTGCTGTCCAAGAGCTGAAGGGCATCCGATTTTAGAGGTTCTCTCTGTCTTATTGGCCGAGGAAAGCAACCTTCCTTTTCTAGCTCGGCAATCTGCGGCCAATCTTCTGTTAGAGGTTGCACGTGTACGTTTCACAGGAGTCTCGTATTCATGGTCAGCATGGGTCATCCCAAATACCCCCTCTATCCCCAAATAAATCAATTCATAGAATCTGTGCCAGTCGAACTTTTTAAGTTGACTAATTTTATAGAAAAGAGTAACAACATCTATGATATAAAATGAGTATATTATAAAAATATATTCCATGGTACATCTAATGATATTAGTTTGATATCATAAATCTTGATGTTTTTTCTATAAATTCGGTTAAAGTTTAAATTTTTTGACTTAAGACAACTTCAGAAATCTATTTATTCAGGGACAGAGGGAGTATTTGCCAGGGAAGTCAATCAAAATGCTGTCCACTGCTGTCCATAGAGATGTTCTCGCATCTTATGGGAACAATTTTAGTTTTGGACATGTTAATGGTGAGTCCTGATTCCTGAACGACATGTGAAGCCTTTCACGATGCCTCACGAGGCGTGTAGTTCTGAAGCACAGGGATTAGCGAAACCCCCAGCATCATTCGTGTACAGCAAGCGAACATCTCCACAAAGCTTTCCTTTGGCAAACTTAAACACGCAATGGGCGGCGCATTCGTGCACTCGCGCGACCCATCCGCACCCTACCGGAGAGGAAGAAGAAGAAGGGTTGCCTAAGGCCGGTGGTTAGGGTTCCAAGAGGGGTTCGCTCATCTGTGGGTGCAGAAGAGGGTTTGTGGACGGTGGGAGATGGGTGGCGCGAGAAGGCAGCGGCGCCGTACGCTGGGGGCGGTGGGAGATGGCGGTTGGGCGGGGCTGGCGGTGAGGACGTTGTGCCGAAGTGGTTGTCGGCAACCGTGTGATTGGGGGAGGACAAGGTTGAGGCAGGCGGCGGTGGAAGGTGGGTGAGGCGGCGGGAGCCATCAGCTGCGGGTGATGGAAGAGCGATGGAGGAGGTGGCGGAAGAGGGGTGCGTGAGGCATGTGCGAGCAAAAGAGGGACAAGGGTGGTGCAGGCAAGGAGGAAGAAGGGTCGCGTGGTTTCCAATCGCGCCACCCATCGCGGGATGTCGTCGTCCATGTAGCGGTATATCACTCAAAGGCAGATCCTTATTATACATAGATAAATCAGGACATGACATGCAGTTCATTATTCAGAGCGTCCTCCTCATGCTCAAACCTGAAAGCTGATCGATCAAAGCGAGGAAATGTACTCCACCAGACCATCGAGAGCCAAACTAGCTGCTCCTCCCTCAGCAACACACTGCTTCGCCTGCGTCATCAGAAGCCGAGACCTCTCCCTCGGCCCCTGATGCGGGCCCAGTTCCCCAGCCATCAGCCTTCTGATCATCCTCGCCATGGCTGTCCTCTCGAGCGGCTTCCCGACCTCGAACCCGACGCCCCACTGGTGCGTCACGTACCTCGCGTTCACGATCTGCTCCGCGAAGCACGGCTGCACGAGCATGGGCACCCCCTCGGAGATGGCCTCCACCATGGAGTTCCAGCCGCAGTGCGTCCAGAACCCACCCACCGCCGGGTGCGCCAGGACCTCCCTCTGCGGAGCCCACGCCACGATCTTGCCCCTGTGCCTCACCGTCTCGCGGAGCTCCTCCGGGACCGGAGGCACCTCGTCCTCCGCGTCTGCGTCCGCGCCGGCGCCGCCACGGACGACGGAGCCACGGCGGAGGACCCACAGGAACGGCACGCCGCTGGCCGCCAGCGCCCACGCCGTCTCCTCGAACACGGCGCGGTCCACGCGCGCCATGCTGCCCATGCTGACGTACAGCACGGAGCGCGGCGGCCGCGCGGCCAGCCACGCCAGGCAGCTGCAGTCCGGTGCGTGCTGGAACTGCCCTCGCCCGGCCCCCACGGCTGCCGCCGGGGACGCCTGCAGGTGCAGCGGCCCCACCGCGATGGCCGGGCGGCCGGACAGCTCGCGCCGGATCTTGGCCAGCTCGCGGCCCTCGATGCCCTCGAATGTGTTCAGCACCACGCCCGCCGACGACGCCCGCACGGCCTCGGCGTTGGAGGTGATGAAACGGAGCACCGTCTCGTCGTCGCTGCCGTCCATGCGGATCAGGTCGCGCACGCGGAGCGGCTCCAGGCCCGGCACCACCTCGTCCAGCCGCTCTTCTGCATGCATGCAAGAAAGTAAACACTATTACCAGTCGGTGGCACAAGATTACAGAGTGTCTTCCACGGAGATCGAAGAACGTGCCTTTGATGGGGAGGTAGCCGTCAGCGACGAGGCGCGGGGTGTCGAGCATGCTGAGGAACGTGGCAGCGCCGTCGGCGCGCAGCGCGAGCGCGGGGACGGCGACACGCGTGGCCGCGCCCAGCATCTTGTACCACTGCCCGTCGACCACCACGCAGGCGACCTCGCGCGGCCCCTGCTGGCCACCGGTAGTAGTACGGCGCACCAGCAGCTCCTCGGCGAGGGCCGCTTGGAACGGCGCCTCGCAGGCGGCGTTGAGCCCGATCATCTGCTCCACCATGTCGGGGCTGGCGACAACGTCGGCGCGGAGGGACTCGCGGATGGACACGAAGGTGATCTCCGGGTGGCACGTCGGGTCCGGCGCGTTGAAGTCGGTGTGGAGCACGGTGACGCCCAGCCCCCGCGCGCGGAGGAGCTCCCCGAGCTGGAGCATCTGCGTGATGTGGCTCCCGAACGGGAACGGGAACATCACGACGCGGCGGCCGGTGGGAGCACGTCCGTCGCCCGCCATCGGTGCTGCTGGTGTGGTGTGCTGCGTGCTGCCTGAGAAAGATTGGTGTCGGACTGTCGGCTGATGACACTGGCAGGCTTTCCTGGCAAAGGTTGGCGAGAGAGGAGCTGCATTGGCATGCAGCTAGCCTAACGAGGCATGTGAAGAGGAGGTTGCTTGTGCCGTGTGTGCTGTCGTTACCGTGCAAAGTAAACAGAAAGGCGAGCTTTTGCCGCTGGGGATTAAGCCTAAGAGACAGACGTTCCTTGTTCGGACTTCCAGTCTCCCCAAAACTCTCTGCAATCCTGCTTTGTTTTGCTTCCAGTCAAGTGTTTGCGTCACAATGTGCTAGAAGTAACACATTTGTCTTTTTTGGATGTAATATGGTGCCAAAAGGATTCACACGCCCGGACTCATATGCACACTGACATCTAACGCTCTGGAAGTTTAAGGCTCTGGAAGTGCGGTGTTGTTTGACACCTGTTGGTGTATCCCATTGTAGTTTGTTGTGCACAGTGGCATTTTTTTCACTTTTGTTTGGTAATAAACGAGACGGCTTCATAACGAACAGGACATTCTGCTAATCTCAGCCCAGGAGAACGACAAGCTATCCTAGCCCATGAACATGACGATAGGGCCTCCGCCCCCCAGGGGCAAAGCCCACACCACCTTGTAATGTTTGACTTAAAAACAACAATCATATAAGGTCTCCTATTTGTGAGTGGAGGGAGTAGCTTATATTTTCAGTGAGGTTGCACATATGTGCTGATAAAAGTAGAATTCGGGAGCTCAAACAAAATGTGGATGTAGAATTTTGTATCAAAAGCCTCACAACTAGGTTTCTCCATCATGTCCGAACAATACAATGCTAATAATTTGAGATGTAATTTCTCTCTCGAACTTATCACGTATCACTAGTTGGCCTAGTAATCCATCAAACCCTAGAACTAAAATTGAAGAAATACACCACAAACAAAATTTCATCTCAGTTCACATTTTAGGCTGATTTCCAAGAAGCTGTCCGACTAGATTAGTCACCTGGAGAAGTAATATGGAAAGGACAGTGAGAACTCAACTGAATTGAGGGGAAAGTGAATGCTAATTGAATGTCATTGTGGGTAATTCTAGTTTCTGCATTGGTATAGACTAAAGCAAAGTGAGACAGGGAGCCTTAGGCATCCAATCTGAGCTATTTTATGCTCCAATAAATATGAAGGCACGGTAAATACTAGATCCATGCAAACAAGTGCAGTTCAAACATATGATGCCATAGCTAGAACATGGAAAATTATATATAACCAAATTTATTAGCTTCTTAGACATGAATCCCAAAGGAAAAGAGAGCAGTACCTTTTGAGGCTGAAGCAAAGAAAAAAGGGGGCGTACCCAATGCAGAGAGCTTCCGCTCTGTGCGGGGTCTGGGGAAGGGTGTCAGTGGCAAGCCTTACCCTCGCCTGTGCAATGCGAGAAGACCGCGACTCGAACCTGGGACCTTCCGGTCACAGGCGGTAAGACTCTACCGCTTGCACTAGGCTGAAGCAAAGAAACAATAAAAAATTATTTTGCTGTAGAAACCAAGAACTAATGAGGTTGTCTTTCCCATAGCACTAGTATATAAAGATCAATACTCCTTGGTGCTAAAATATGTGTCCCAGTAACAAGCACAAAAGTGCAATACTATAGATGTCTCCAAATTCAGCATTTCACATTTTAAGCTAGTTCATTCATTGTAAACAAATTATCTTTTTTCACTGATAAAAGCTATAAAACTGCTGAAAACAAGATGAACATTCAATATGGAATGGACCAAGAACACAGAAACAAACTTGCCTGCCAATACTTGGAAACACATGGATCAATGCAGCTGTTCTCACCCATATTGAGCTCAGCATCTTTGTGCCTAGAGATACAGTGAGTACAATCTAAATCAATCACATATAATTCATGAGCTCGTGTATTTAATGACACCATGGCAATGAATCCAAGAAAGCAAACTTTAATACTGGGAGGTGCTATAGTTGTCTTAAATAGTTTAAATGTATCATATGATTATCTTCATGTCACACACTCCACACCAGGGCACACCCAAATTTCATTACTTGTAGCAAAGAAATTACAGAGTTTACGCAAGCAAGTGTTTAACGATGGTAGCAAACGATGCAGATATAACAACTAGACAGTAACAGAGCATAGGGCCCCTTCACTTTTTGCTAGTGCGCAAAACATAAAACTACTGGTCACCAACGTGAGCCAACAAACTTCAGCCAAACCAACACACCCAGCAAAAGGCAGCTACTACGGACAACACAACACTAGGGGTGCGAAAACAGGCTAATACATCAAGAAGGTGCCCACTTAATTACTTGTGCAGTTATGTCACTTGCTTATCAGCAAATCTTCATACCACACATGGGTTAACAGAAGCACATATAACATTGATCTGATGTACTTCACATATACAAATGCTAATACCAAAAAAAAGAAGAAGGAAAGATGCAGATGTAACAGCAATTTAGAGAAACGTAAGGGATAATGAAAAAATACATGCTAAATTCAGGTGTACCTCTTCTCGATGCACTTGTCAAAACATGTATGTGTAAGCCTGTAATAGTGAAACAAAGATGGAATATCAGATAAACTGGCAGACATAAATTTATGCATTCTAGAGTTCAAAGTGTAATGCTGCTTCCTGCAATGACTTCGAATATGATTTGATTTAAGAACAAAAGACAATGTCACATACAAGACAAATTCCAGTGGTATAAATAGAAAACTGAACTTCAGCTGCTGCATCAAAGCTCAAAGCTCCTGATATAGTTTAAGATAGAATCAAAGAAATATCACTCACTGATTGAAAAGGTCAACCCTATACTCCATCTCTTTCTCCGCCAATCCAAACATCTATTGAGACGCATAAAATGAATGATCTCAGAAAAGCTTCAATTAATAATTAAAAATCTGAATGCAATTGTTTACATGTAGAAGAAGCAACCAGAGGAAAAGATAGAATAAAGCATCTCAAGTAAAACAAATTTGAAACTGAATATCGGAAAACTTTGGAGATCAATGGTCACACTAATTGCTACAAATCCTACTTGTTCTTAGACATCACCACTTGAAACCATCATCTACAAAAAATTCCTGAGTAGTGCAGAAATATTTTTCTCTCTTGAAAAATTGGACTAGTATAAGCTGTGCAGTTATTTGGTCAGTGTGCAATGCTACTCGATGGAAAGGCAAATATGAAAAAGAAAAACATTCTCTACTTAGTATCAGTATAACATATAAAGTAAATAAGTGTAACTGTCTAAGCAATATCATAGTTCAATTGATTTTGTTCCCCTTTCAAAATCACCCAAATCATCACACAGTGCATCAGTATCAGGGTTTCTCATGGAAGTCATGTAAAATTCACCTCCCCAAGCATCATTCTCAACTCGTATACTTTATTTCTTAAAAATCATAGTCATGCTTTCCTCTTAGTTTATTACAGGGTGACAAATCTAGGCAGCACAAGGTGACAAATCGATCTTAAGATACAAATTTACTTGCTCAAACCAACTATTTGGCATGCTTGTTCGTTTGAGCGAAATAAGAAAATCCTCGTTTCCTCAGATCACCGTGTACAGCAAAGATATAATTTGAACTCGGGCAAGGTAATCTGCAAAGAAGGCGCACACCTGCTCCTTCTGCATATTGGTCGGCGCAGCACCCGCGGCCATAGTTGCAGCTCACTTCAAGAAAGCAACAGAGAGCAAGCAATCAGGGGATCGGGTCAATCTAAGATCCAAGAAAAACGAGAGCCCAGAACCCAAGGAAGATGAAATGACAGGGGGGCGCGAAGCTACCACACCGGATTGACCAGCAACAGGGGCGCGGTGGCGCTGCTGACGGATGCCGCCGGCGGATCGCGGAACGGCCAGCACGATGACAGCAGCTAGGGTTCCGATCGAAGCGGACACGATGAGCTTTTGCGCGAAGACGAAATGCGATGTGGGCCTGCAGCCCTTCACGGCCCATAAAACTGCCTCATATTTTTTATTTTTTTATTTTCAATTTGTTTTCTAAAAAAAATACCAAAATAAAAAATATAAAATTGTATCCTTATTGGACCCTTATTTCCAATTGAAATGGCATGAAAAGTTGCACCAATTCAATTTGCGGAATTTCATATGCAACCATTTGAATCAGAAGTATTTCCTTTTATGCATAGAGCTTCTTAAAAAATCATAACTTTTTTTTTCTCAATCTTGGATGAAGATAAAATTGTAGGACTTGTCAAAAGATTCAACTTTGCAGTTCACGGCCTTTTCTTTTAAAGCAACCGTGCTGCTGAAATAATAGATATAATGTTCAGAAATACAAATATAGAATTAAAGATTTTATCAATTATTTTGGCTTCAAATGAAAGAATGTTGTGCCCTTTGAAGACGTAGATGTCCTTGAGCAATAGAAATTTCATATAAGTTTTATCTTCATATGAGGCTATCCGCCTGTTCGCTTGTTGGTTACAACCAGCCCAAACCAGTCAGCCAACAGTGTTTTTCTCTCACAACAAACCAGCACCAGCCAGCCCAAACCAGCCCAGAAACCAACCAGCGAACGAGCCGTATGTGAAAAGTTGTGATTTTTTAGATGCTACTTAGGCAGGGGTGTGAATAAATCGCTTTTTTAGCATGTGAATAAATCACTTTTGATGTACCAATTCACTAAGATGAAAATGTAACTTTCTTAAATCTTACTATTATTAATTGGAGGCTCTAACGGAGGTATCACGTTAACTCTCACCAGACACGCTAGGAAAAAAGATAAATCCTAGAAATTCTTACAATAATCAGAAATATCCGGAGGCTCCGACGAAGGCATCACGTTAACTCTCACCAGACGCGCTAGAAAAAAAGATAAATCCTAAAAATTCTCACAATAATCAGAAACATCTGGTCTTTAATTTAGTAGACTCTAATCATCATCTCCGATAATAGCCATTGGATCTATTATAATTTATAAAAAATTACCCACTT